CTACACTTCTCTTCTGAACTTACTCAGAATTCTCCACTATGGTCCTGTTGTATGGTAGAATTGCATTTCCCAAGCAAGCTCATAAATCATTTTATTCCCCAAAGTAATTGAATAATACACGTGAATTGTTTGGGGTAGGGTGGATGTGGGGGGTCTCGCAACCCTTACCCTGTGGTTAAGGGCACTTGTGCAGGGAGTGGGAGAGCTGGGTCATAGGCTCCCCTAGGGTGCTGAACCTGCATCCCCCCACTTCCCAGCAAAGTGCTTTAACCACCAGGTGGGCTAGGCATGGCCCAGAAGGTTATCCAGCCTTTCTCTTGAAGCTGGCCCACTGTAAAGCCAACAGAGGAAGATATAGAGGACCAGATAAAGTTAAATAAGGAAGGGGGAATTTGGCTCAGTGACATAGAAGGGAAAGGACCTGGGTTTCTGGCCACTGCAGAAGCTATGTTGTGGCCATTGATCCAATGAATATTACATGTGGAGTGTAGAAGTGTCATACTTTATAACTGGAGCAATTATATGGCCACATCTGGGGAGTAGGTAAAACTTACGTGTAATAAAGGTGAAGGGATTTGGCCCTAATTCTCACCATGTCCTCAAACCCTTTCTCTTCTCAGGATTCTCCCACAAGGTTGTCTCAGAACTTCTTTAGTATCTGGCAACATAAAGGTCAAAGAGAGTATTATTATTTTAATCTGACTCTTATCTCTCTGTTTAGGCCACTGGATAGTTAAATAAATACACTAAAACAATCCATGCTTCTCTTTTTTATACTTTTTTGTCATCAATTACAAAGGTGTTACAAAACATTTTTCTGTTGTATTTGAGGATATTACCAGAAAACAATGGAAAGAGTCATTGATTAGGAAGTGGTTTGGATCAGGAACCTGGTGCACATGAAGAGAACGCTATTGCTAGATGCCATTTGTATGTATATATGCATCACTGAAATGGCTGTCCATATAGCAATACACCACTGAAGCGTATTTTTCATTTCTACCTTCCCTCCCACATCTCACTGTCCACTCTTCTTTTTTAAAAAAACATATAATATATGCAAAAAACAGAAGAAAGTGACTTAGAGCATGTCTATGTATAATGGGATATTGCACCTGTAGCTGCCCTAGTGCAAAACTCCAGTGCAGATAAGCTACACCAGTGCAAAGCAGGACTTCCACAATATGACAAATGGCAATTTCAAACCATGTGTCTACAATCCTTGTATTATATTGATCTAGCATATCTAAAATGGAGTTTTGGCACCAGTATAGCTAAATAAGTGTAGTTTTATTGTTACAACTGTTCTAATTATAGACAAACTTTAGATAAACCCAGTGGTGCCCAACCTTTTTGCCCCACAGGCCAGATGGGCAGTGCCTAGTCTAGCTTTGGGATGGGTCTTGCTAGTAGGATAGAATGGTGTATGGGGAAGATATGGTAAGGGCCCAATCTGGCTGTGTGGGAGCACGGCAGGGAATGACTTAACCCCAATTCATCTGTGAGGGGGGAGTGGCTGTGGCCTGGCCCTGATCCAGATACCTAGAGGGAAGAGGTCTAGGCTGGCCCTAATCCAGCTGCATGGGGATTGAGAATTTGGCAGTGGTTGAGTGGTGGCAGTATTGCTACTGCTCCCCACTGCCAAATTTCCCTACTTGTGGGGAGCCCCATGCCCTAGATGCCATGGCTCTGTGGGCTGGATGTGGTCCTCAGGCCATGGGTTGGGCGCCCTTGGATCAGTCCTGTGATGGCCAACATTTACCACTGGCCAAAGCAGGCACAACGGCATTGACTTCAGTGACTGCTGCTACTAGTTTTGGTGAATTTGTAATAGAGTCAATAACTTTGCTCAAAAACAGCACTAAATGAAATGAACTGTAAGTGGACAGTGATATTTATAGCTCAGTCTATGTTATTATTGCCTGATTGTTCCCAGTTTCGGTTTGTTTACAGTTTTTCACATATTGACTCCTTACTCGAGTTCTTTTAACATAGGTTTGAAATGTGAATATGTTTTATTTTTTCCCCAGTAAATATACAATACACACTTCAACAGTACTATTAACCAACTTTTTATGCCAATTAAACTTTGCTGCACTAACAATACCAATGAAACACATTAAGAGGTCATACTTTTTTGTGAAAAAACTGTAGCCAATAAACAAATAAAAAAAAAAAACAATTCTAAGTGCTGCCACAAAATCCCTTTTGTTTAAACACGTTATTCACAATAAATGTTTTCCATTTTAAAAAATGAAAGAATACTTCTTTTAAAATAGTAAATTAAACTGCATTTTGAAAAATATGTATTGTGGTTCATTGGAAGTACACTGTATAGAAAAGAGAGAAAAAAAAAGAGACATCACCTGTAAGAAAATGGAGACACTTTGCCATACACACCGACTCCTTCTTATGAAATATTGTAAGCAACTTATTAATGAACAAAAACATACAGAAGCAGATGGACAAGTTAGTGAATATCATGGTACTGCACAGCTTTAATACTGACACACATTTACTTTCCAGTGGAAGAGATAAAACACATACCTGAAAGTAACTGGAATGGCTTTTATAAACTTCTAATGGTACCAATGTTTAAATAGTATTTAGTAAGTAAGGTGTTCCACCAAAGCTCAGCACAGCGTTCAAATAAATAATCCAAATAAATAATCTTTTTGTGATATAAAAACATCAAAAATCTTATACCCTTTTTACCTCTGTTAAATATTTTCATTTTAAACAATGGTTTTAACTATATCCATTAAACCAGCAGGAAAGTTACATAGATTTTTTGGTTAAATATATAAATGAATTCATACCTTTGCTTTGATTTCTTTTGGCTTGTAACCTGCTAAGTAACAATGTTGGCCTTAAGTAAAGTCATTTTTTTTTTGATATTCGCTAGTGCTGAGTTAAAAATGATAACTGCAGTGTTTTATCTTATCATGGAACAATTTAATGGAATGAAAAGCAACACATAAATTTAGCAGTATAATTTACTTGTCCTAGGATTTTTCCATCACTAAAAGTGTACTTAATACTGGTGAGCTCAAGGCAATATAAACAACAACATAGACTGGTTATACTTAAAAAGTGTATAAATGCAAACTTGTGTTCATGATCAAATAGCTAACAGAAAAAAGCTGTAGAAAGAAATATTTAAATTAAGTATTGAATGAATGTGCTCTACATGTACATGTTTCTAATAGTTGACATCTTAGACACTGAGATTTCAGGGGTTTATGAAATTTAAACTAAGTCATGGAAACTAATGATGAGACAGGATACTGTTACTAATGCCCACTTACAGAGTCTGGTTTATTCAAAAAGCGTATAAACATGCGTTATTTTCTCATTATTGTAGAATTTAAAAAGCCTTAGAAATAGGTCCAAGATTTTCTTTGTTTGAATCCAATTTTTGAGAATGTATCAAATTGCAAGAAACATATTTCCTACAAACTTGCTTTCTTTTCAAATGCTAATACTTTTTTACTATTGATTCAGTGGATTTCACTTCAGATATTGAGGACTTCAGTTAATGAAACACAAAGACTTGTTGAGACTGCATAAAAACAATTAATGTCATGAATTGCAGTGGTGCAGCTCTATCCTCTGTACTGTACATGTTTTGGAAAGATGAAATAAGATATTTTGACATATTTCTTTTTTTGGAAGCAGCCTGAATATATCTCAGTAATAAACTGCATCTTTAACTACTTGCTTGATATTCCTAGAGTTCATATTGTTGTTTTTTTTCTGGGAGATCTTGGCATTATAGTTTGGGTTGGAGAAATTAATTATGGTAATCCTTGTTTAAACTGCAATATAAAAACGCTTTAGTGAAACACCTTAATTCCTTGAATTTGTTGCAAGGGTCCCCCCCTCTTATTCAGTTGCATTTGGTGGGTAAAAACTGATATTAAGAGTTGAGAACCTTCTAATTCTATTCAAAGGTCCATCTCATGCTATACTCTTTTCTTCATATTCACTTTTGAAACTCATATTTCCATCCTTTGACCCCTTTTTAAATAGTAAAAGCAACCATGTTGCTTTTTATTACACAATTTAATTCTGTCCCTGATGTCTTCACTAACATCAATTTTGCCTGTCATCTTCCTATTTCTACACCCCAATGGAAAACCATCTAACATACTCCATTACATCCAATGTTATCCAACAAAGTTCACAGCACATAAACGCTCTTCACACATTCAGTCTTTTTTTCTTCTTCATGTCACGAGGAGTAGAGTTTTGTGCTTATCACCAAATAAAATTGCAGTGCAAACTTTAAACATAAAAGTTACACAATTAAAAGTTAATATATGGCACCACAGCCTATTAATTCACATATAGTACAACAGACCAATTAAAACAGACAATAATATGAACATAGCTAAAAAGGTGAGCTTGCATAGCAATGCAACAAAAGAAATTATATACAGAGGGAAATCCTTTTCATCCTTCAGGGTGATTTTTTTTCTTTCTTTTTTATATACTCCTGACAAGAAATAGTTTAAGGTGGATGGTGTATTAAAGAGAAGAACACAAGTAAAGTATCTGTGGGATATGTGTGGCTGTGTGTCTTTACATTGCATTTACAGTTCTTTTAATAGTACATAAATAAAGAAAATGTTCATTGCACTGTTTAGTGTCATCACTTCCATGAGTTCAGACCTGATGGTCCATCAGAGCAGCTTGGGATGTCTCTTCTTAACTACTCTATAGAAAGAGATAGAGAGAAAAAAGGTTGCAATATGTAAGAGAAAGTTAAATGTAAAATTACTGCAGCACACACAATAAACATGCTTAGTTATTTTGTTCAACTTTCTTTTGGATAAGAAGTGTTTGACATTTAGCACTTACCAGGCGTCATCTTTGAGGTACAACATTTCACTGCATGTAGGGGGAGAGGTGTGTGTGTGAGAGAGAGACAGAGAACTATTGTGTCTTTCTCACCATACAGTGTGGTAACTTGGTTAATACTAGCAGTGTCTACATGAGATGTTTTCTGCAGTTCCCTAATTAGCCCTGCAGTAAAGTGTCTCTGTCTACATGTGCAGAGATGTTAGGCAGGAGTAAATTAACTAACTCTGCTGTAGCTTAGTACTGTGTCTGAGACAAGTACTATCCTACGGCGGAGTTTTTTACTCAGCCACAACACGTAAATGCTGACAGGGCTGGCTGGAACATGAGAGTGCTGCCATGTGGGGGTTGTCCGCCAGCTAGCCCCACACTATAGCACCATCATACCCCAGTCAGCCACTATACACCACAATGAGCCAGGCAGAGCAGCCCCAAGTTGGTGGGCTGACTCCTGGGGCCCCCTGCCAGCCAGGGCTTCACCACTCTGGCTCAGTGCTGCAGTCTCAGGGGCACATGTAAGTGCTGTGCCCAGGAGCAATAAACTCTGGCATGAACCGTGCTACTTCCATGTGCAGATGCATCCACTAAGAATCTGTTTTGCCTCTTAGAGTGTTATGCAAGTGTTATGCAAGTGCTGTACAAGGTAAGGGGTTGTTAGTACTTGGGTTAACAAAAGACCTGTTCTAACGCTCAGTGAATTCAATTTCCATTTACACTATCATTGCAGACTTACAGATATATTAAATAAATGGCCCTAGCATACATCACAGCATTGCATCTATTAAAAGCACTTTGTAGGGTGCAGTCTCACCGAAGTCTACTGCCAAAGAGAGATGAATTTAAACCACTTGGCCTCATCATAGGGAAGAGACCTTTCAGAAGTGACAACAATCTGGGTCAGAATCATATCTGACTGTCAGAATGAGCCTCCTCCTCTCTAGAGTTCAATCCTGTATCACTGAAACTATTAATGAGGTTTTTGTGTCTCTTTTGACAGTTTGAATTGTAACTACAAAGGCACTTACATAATTCACCAGTAAACTGTCCTTGACTGTTTGATCCCACATAGCCTACATCTAGAAGGTCACTGGCATTGCGTTGGTGACCTCCTCGCAAGACTTCACCTTTTCTGGGTCCAGTTGATCCTTTAGAAGATGCAGTTCCTGAAGAACTGTGACCACCTGGGGATGGGAAGCTGGGCTTACTATATGGCACCAGTGCCTCCTCTAGAAGAAAAGAAAACAGAAACAAAGTGAAAACATAAATTCTCTATGAAGTACATTACCCAGATGAGAACAAACATCCATTAAAGATTGCATTTAAACGGGGTTTTGTTTTCTTTTGTTTTGCTGTATGATATGGCAGCAGTACCTAAAATACCTCCATGTTCATTCTCTACTGCTTCCACAACAATGAAAACAGCATGAATTTAATCTTGTTTTCATGTACACTCATACATTTGTTTGTATTAATTATAAACATCTAGATTCATTATGAAAAAAGAGATGATGAATCATAGATTGCTTAATAAAAATAGACATACACATGCAATACAATTTCCAGAATAATGTAGCTATGATTAGATTTTTGCTTTAAGCTTGGAGAAACGTGCTTTTTTCCCCCTTTTCTTTGGTTTAAATTATGGTTACATTACCTCAATCAATTTAGATAAAGAACTACAGTATCAGCTAATTTAATTAGCTTCTTTCAGTTCAGTAATTTCCAAGGATGTAAAAGCATATTGGCGATTATTTTACTGGTTGTAAATTCCAATGGAAAACTGTATTGTACAAGTAATTTTATGCTTGGAACATTTGGGATGTATACATTTTTGTCTTTTTCTTCTTGGTGCTCTACACTGGGCACAGGTTTAGTTCTCTGCTTATACCTCCTTTCAAGAAAACCTTTGACATGAGGCTGCTAAAGGGAGGAGGACCATACCTAGAAGCAGTGCCCTCCAGCATCCTGCTGCTTTTCATCAGGAATTGAAAGCAAAAGAACGGAGTCCACATGGGACTTTAGGTGGGCTAATTAACACTTACGAATGACAGCCTGACTGTAGCACTTCATGGATATTAGGACGCAGCCTAGATGGAGTAACTTGATTTCGGACACTATGTTTAGGACACTACTGCAATGGATAGTAAGTTTACCACAAAGACACAATCAAGGACTAACATCTGGTACTCACAGATGCACATCCCTATGTTTTTTTCACAATATCTAGCAAAACAAGGCCTCAGACTTGATTGGGGTTTGGGTACTGCTATTACTATAACAATGGAAGCAACAAAGAGTAGGAATGGTCTGGCACACAAACCATAGAAGCAAGCCATTTATTTTGTAGAACTGGCTTGTTTTCTTGTACACAGGGTGCTCAAGCCATCTTGAGGAGGGAACCTTGGCAGTTTGTAAAACCTAGGTTCAGCAAAGAACTTAAATACATAGCTAACTTTAAGCATACAAGTAATCCCCATTGAAGTAAATGGGAATACTCACATGCTTATTTGTCCTTGCTGAAGTACTTTACTGGATCAGAATCTAAGCTGGGTTTCTCTTTCTCTTCTTCCCATTACTAAACATTGCTACTGAGTGAGACATGACTCCTTCAATACAGGGTAAAGAAAGATGGGGATGTTTGGAAATGGGAAAGGAAGATGAATCTTAAAACTCACAGAGAAGGACACTAGCTCTTCAGGGAATAAGGACTGATATCAGTTTTGTGTACTATGATTGTAGTGTCCTTGGTAAAATGTAAGCAAACACTTAAAAGATATAAGAAAATAGCATCTGTCAAAGACCTTTATATTTTATTAACAGTTTTTAACCAGCAAGCTTTAACAAGCAACCCAGATGGCAACCTTCTGACTAAAGACTGCCTGAAATATGGTACAATGTGCAAAGAAAGCAATAAAAGCAAATAATGTAAATCAGTTTAGCAGAGAGCTGGCTGCATGTTTTGGGAATGAAAAGCTGCTAGTTGCACAGAAGAGTTTGTGTGTGAAATATATTGAAAACTTATTTGGGGGGGAGGGTTTCTATTTTTTCTAAGGGTAAGGGTATAATGGGTATAGTGAAATATTTAAAAAGATCCTATCATAAATCATATCTCTGTTAATAATTTAACCGAAAGTATTCTGGTGTGAGACACATATATAATACATAAATTAAATCATTATATTAAATCACAAATGTAACAAAGGATTCTAATATTCTGTCTAAATCCCCTAGTCAGTTCTGAAGTTCTTCAACTATGCTTCTTGAGTGGCATTTTTTCCCAGCACTGTGATCCTCAAGAGGTCCACTGACTATGTTTTTCCCTTTGCAGGACTGAGCTTTAATTTGCTACAGTTCTTGCACTTATACAACAGGAGAAGTCTTTATATAATCCATTTCAGTTGAGCAACTAATGACTTCATGATTATCAAACCTGGTCTTACATTGTGCTGATCACTGAGGTAACTCAACATACAACATTTAGGGTTGAAGCTACTAGTTGGAACACCTTAGAGATGATCAAAAGTAATCAGCAAATACACTTTCTAGAATTAGGCTATGGGTGCTCATTTGAAAAATACAAGGACTTGAGGAGCAAGAGTGCACAGCTAAAACCAAGGGAGTGCACAACTAAAACCTTCTGGTTACAGGTCACGGGCTGAGAAGGGAGAGAAGAAGTGAGGTAGTAAACAGAAGACTGCGGTGCTGCTGCCACTGTGAAGGCTTCAGCTTCTATGACCACAGAACGCGCTTCCGAGAGAGAGGCAGTGGTCTGTTGGGAAGAGATGGCCTCCACCTTACTCCACTGGGGAAAAAGCTCTTCTCAGCCAGAATGGCTGACCTGCTCAACCGGGCTTTAAACTAAGCTCACCAGGACATGGGCAGACAACACCACAGCAAATTCACCAAGCACCAACTGCAAAATCAGCAGGTTAGGATGCTCAAGGGAACCCACTCCTACCCTAGCCCAGGAACAGAGCTTTTCCATGAGTACAAGGAAGCCTAGGGCCTCCAATGGCATACTTACTTGCCTATACACTAATGCTAGGAGTTTGGGGAATAAACAGGAGGAACTGCTAAACAAAAACGACTATGATCTCCTAGGGATAACAGAGACCTGGTGGGGCTCCTCTTATGACTGGACTATGGGTATAAATGGTTATACCCTGTACAGGAGAGATTGTGCTGAAAAAAAGGGCAGGGGTGCAGCTCTCTTTGTAAAGGAGAACTATACATCCCTACAGGCTGAGACTGGTATGCAAGGAGGATGACTGGAGATGCTTTGGGTTAGAATATGAGGGAAACGTGGTGAAGGGGATACAATGGTAGGAATCTACTACAGATGTCCAAATTAGGAACAAGAGCTTGGCCAAGAATTCGCCAGGGACCGGCCAAAGCTGCATACTCTCGGTGCACGGTTGTCATGGGAGACTTCAACTACCCGGACATCCCATGTGAAGAGCACTCGGCCGAATCCAATTGGTCTCAAAACTTCCCTATATGCGTGGATGAGCTCTACCTGTCTCAAGAAGTTTATGGGCCAACAAGAGGTAAGCCACTGCTGGACCTGGTGCTGGCCAAAGAGGATGATCTTATCAGTGACCTAAGAATTTAAAGGAACCTGGGTGACAGTAACCATGAGTTGATTACTTTCACTATCCATCACAAAGCTGGCAAGTCAGCCAGTAATGCAGCAGTCCTTGACTTTAGGAAAGCTGATTTTCATAAGCTCAGGAGGCTTGTTTCTGAGGCCCTGACAAGCCAATCTGTTTAATGATTACTTTGCATTGGTTTTTCACCAGCTCAAAGGGACCACCCTGCCTTACATGATGCGGGACAACCAAGGTGAGGGCCAATGTGGTGCCCACCTTCAAGGCAGACCCAGGAAACTACAAGCCAATCAGTTTGACCTCAATCCCTGGGAAAATTTTGGAAAAAATTATCAAAGAAACCATTCTTGACAGGCTAACAGAAGGCAACATTCTGAGGGACAGCCAGCATGGGTTTGTTGCGGGTAGGTCTTGCCTGACCAACCTCATTTCCTCCTATGACCAGGAGATGTATCACCTGGACAAAAGGGAAGAGGTTGATATCATATATTTGGAATTTAAAAAAAAGCCTTTGACCTTGCGTCCCATGATGTTCTCACGGAAAAATTGGGCAACTGCGGCCTTGACTACTCCACAGTCTGATGGCTGGGGAACTGGCTCCAAGGTCAGATCCAGAAAGTGGTAGTTGATGGAACAAAATCAACTTGGCACTCAGTGACTAGTGGTGTCCCTCAAGACTCTGTTTTCAGTCCTGTACTCTTTAATGTCTTCATAAATGACCTGGACAATGGTGTCAGAAGCAGACTGGCTAAGTTTTCTGACAACACCAAACTTTGGAAAAGAGGGTCCACACTTGAGGACAGGCTGGTGATCCAGGCCAACTTTGATAGGCTTACAAAGTGGGCAGATGAAAACCTGATGGCATCCAATATGGAGAAATGCAAGGTGCTCCACCTCGGGTAAAAAAACCTGCATCACACTTATAGGCTCGGCAATGCTACACTCACTAGCACTATGACCAAAAGAGACTTGGGGGTTATGATTGACCACAAGATGAACATGAACCATCCATGTGATACCGCAGCTGCCAAAGCGAACAAACCTCTGGCTTGCATCTACCGATGCATCTCAAGCAAGACCCAGGATGTCATCCTCCCACTGTACTCAGCCTTGGTGAGGCCGCAGCTGAAGTAGTGCATCGAATTCTGGGCCCCGCAATTTAGGAAGGATGTGGAGAAGACTGAAAGAGTTAAGAGGAGAGCCACATGCATGATCATGCCTTACAAAGAGAGGCTGCCAGCTATGGGACTCTTCAACCTGGAGAAGCACAAGCTCAGGGGGTGACTTGGTGGCAGCCTATAAGTACATAAGGGGTGTGCATCAGGATCTGGGGGAATGCATGTTTACCAGAGCACCCTGAGGGATGACAAGGTGCAATGGTCACAAACTCTTGCAAGATCAGTTTAAGCTGGACGTAAGGAAATACTTCTTTACTGTCTGAGCCCCCAAGGCCTGGAACAGACTCCCCCCAGAGGTGGTGCAAGCACCTACTCTGGACACTTTTAAGAAACATTTGGATGCTTATCTTACTGGGATCCTTTGACCCTAGCTGACTTCCTGCCCCTTGGGCAGGGGGCTAGATGCAATGATCTTACCAAGTCCCTTCCAGCCCTAATGCCTATGAATCTATGAGTTCATACTCCTTTATGGGGGCAGCTAGATCATTGGTTGGGTGCTACAACAGTTGAGGTTACTATTGCAGCTAGTCAAGGACTAAAAGATTCTTTGGCTTATGTGGATGTAATTTACTGAAGAAATAATATGACAAATAATCAAAATTGTTCTCTGTATAAGTCATTCAATATTATGGAGAATAACACAAAATAATGCATCCTTCAGAAAGTACTCAGCCACAATTGCTGTTTTATATGTACAGTACCCAAATTGTGTTAAATTTTTTACAAGTAAAGTGTGCACAGTCTTTGTTCTGAAAGCTGTGAAAGATCGAACACATTTGCATATGCACAACTTGGAGCACTTTCCTGAGCCAAATCAATGGAACTATTTAGGAGAGTAAAATTATTGACATGTGTAAGTGCTTGGATAACTGGGATCTAAAATGTAGATATGAGGCACTGACTGAAAACAACACACTGGAGAATAAAAAGGAAAAGAGGACTTAAAGAATTACGAGGGTACCAGGATTCTTGATCCCTTCTGCTATGAATATATTATTCCATATAAGATTTCCATTGTAATAGAATGGAATACATTGGCCCCTTTAACCTTCAATCTAAAAATGCTTTCAAAATATTAACACACAGTATCAGTGAACATGTTTAGAATGATGTCAAGTAAATTGAGCAATTGTTCTTTTCAGAAAGAAGCCAATTAAAATTACTTCTTTGGAAATATTTTAGAAATGCAACTGCTATCTGATGACCCAGTAAACTTGATCATGAGTAAAAGAAACAGGTCGGGATAGATTTCAAACGGGAAAAAAGGTAAAGATGTCCATTCATAATTATTACTATCAAAATCATGCATAAGTATTTCCCATTAAAACTAGCAGAGAAAGAATATGCAGATGAAAAGCTGAAGAGCAAGAAGTTGGAGTGGAAAAGAAATACATATATAGTGGGTGCATCTATACAGATACTTTACTGTGGAGCCGGCTAATTAGCTCCACAGTAAAGCATCGCTGTCTACACGTGTGCCGGTATTAGGGAAACAGTAAATGAATTAACTCCACCATAGAATAGTACTGTTGGGGACAGTATCTTATGGAGGAGTAATTATCTTATGGAAGAGTAATTACCTGCAGTGAAATTCACATGTAGCCACCGACCATGGGTGTAAATTGCACCTGATCAGCCCAGCCAGCGAGGGGCCAGACCAGCGAGGGGCCTGCTGCCTTGCTACACAGCTCTGCAGGTTCTGCACCCTCATGCCCCGACCAGCCCTTCCACCACCTGATACCCAAAGTATGGGGTTGCCCCCTGTGCCCCTGCAAGCCCGGGCCTGCTCTGCCCCTGCTCAAATTGTTGCTGTCCCGGGCGTATGTGTAGACATTGCACCCAGGAGCAGTTTACTCTGGCTCCAACTGCTCTGGAGTTTATTGATTTGCATTAATTACTCATGTAGATGCACCCACTAGGCACTTGAGCACCACTATAATCCATTGCAGAGAGGTTTTGAGGTCAGTTCACTATATCCTTCCCACCAAAGAGAAGAACTGTAACACCTCCTAAGGTATATAACAAGGGAAGCCTTGAACTTCTTACATGCCTTGGACCTCCTCAGTTTCAAAGGACAAGCAGATGTTGTGACAAGTCATGCCTGTGTTTGTCCTGGAACTGAAATATCCTGGACTGGTGTATACATACCTTGTCCTTCTAATCAGAGTTTAGCATGAAGCTGACTGGTCTGGTTTGGGGTTTTTTTGTCATTGATTAAATGATGGAGTCTCAGTTTTAAAGGACAAGCAATGCATAATCACTCCATCTCTCAAAAAGAGACCTGCATCATTGGTCACTTTGGGCAGCAGAAGTGGTACTGATTAGTTGCCATCCTCTTCTGTCTCTCTGGTTTCAACTACTAAGAGAAGGAAGCCTAAGGTCCATCGCAATTATAACTTTGAACCGAGGAGTTAAACATAAATATATTTTGTTGCATATGTTGAAGAAATTGAAGCATCTGTTTTGTTACTCTTAAGGTTGTTATTGGACTATGCAAAGTAACTTTAAAATATTGTTATTGTTTGAAGCCAATATATGTACAATGAAGGAAGCAGAATATTCATTTAAGTTACCTTTCACTTGAAGGGAAGGTACTGCCCTTCATATGATGGTACTAATGAAGGAATCAGAAGCAATATTATGTTCTTAATAAGTTAATAGTATTTACTGGATCAACTGTTGTAGACATTAAGATAATTTTCTTTTGTCTAGAATTCAGCAGAACAATTTATTTCTTCCTGAGGCTGAGATAAAAGGGAATATATATAGGCTTGGAATGGATGTTGCATTTGTCCCAGGACAAGTTGTGCCTTTGTTTGTCCCACAACAGAAATATCCTGGATTGGTGTGTATGTACATCATCCTTCTAATCAGAGTTTAGCAAACAGCTGACTGCACTGTTATTTTTCTGTCATTGATTCAATGATGCAATCCTAGAATAACTGTTCAGATACACTTTGGGATGTCCCAGCATAAACTGTTACGACTTCTTATACCATGAACCTTTCAAAGGTATATCCTGGAATAATGCTTGTGGACATTTGGACAACTGTACTTTGTTCTGGGATAAACTGATTTATTCTGGGACACAATGTGACATCTGTTTATAGCCACTGGTACCATATTCATAAATCCATTCTCCAGGAACAGGTGCTTCCTGTATATCATTGTTTTTACAGACATGAGGTAAGCGTGTATATCTAGGAGAATCAGTGCTTGAATAATTATTATTATTTGTGCAAGTTTATTGCATGCACAAATATACAACATAACCCTAGAAAAGCACGGTGTATGCTTTGACTGTTTTCAGTTCCTTGTTTAATTGTCTCCTTGTTTGTTTTATTTAACCAGCAGTGAGCTAAGTATGAGGAGTGGGTTAAAGAAAATAGTTAAGGTATATGAAATGGTTGAAGTTAGGTTGACAGAGGAAATTGTGAATGTTGTTCAACTATATCTCCTGTCCAATCTCACTTTCTTTACACATTTTAACAAGCCTGAAATAAATGTAAAAGTCAAGATTAGTACTTAAAAAAGATAAGTTGCTGATTAAAAGTGGAAGACTGAAGTGCTGCCATGCTAAGCCTAACTGATGAAGATTGCTTTGTCATACCTTCAGATAAAGAGAAAACGATACTACAAATATAGCTGGAAAGAATGATGGAATGTCTGAAGTTAAGAAAGGTCAGCCTACTGCAGGCATACAAAACCAGCTAGCTTCAGTTTAGACGCTGGTTGAAAACACTGGGAAATATGACCCTCCAAGTACAAATAAATATATCATATCAGGAAATACTTAGAAATCTTTTCCTCTTTTCTTGCCAGCCAAGAACAGCGTTCTGCTTCCATTTTCCTTCTGCAATGTTTGGCAACAGTATGAATTCCCAATGCCATGTAAAGAATGCACTGATTTATGCTTTAATGCAATCTCAACGTTGCAGGAAGGAACACAGAACCTTGAACTTGGATCAAAGTAGATTAGCAGGCTTTCATTCCACTTGTGGATGTTTCATTCTTCTACTATGAGCCTTGAAAATGCTAGTCTCTGGTTTATCTCACATTGTTGTGAGTTATAAACCCTCAGTTGAAATGTTTCAAGAAGCTGTCTCTATTTTTGATTGGTGCAGCACACACACCTGATCCAAATGCTTGTTTGTGTTGGGCTTTCCTTAAATCTTCTTGACGTTCTGTGGAGCTTATCCATTCCTGGGTTTGTCGCTGCCATTCTAATGATGTTCTAGCTTGACGATCCAATGAGCTCTTTGTTTCATCTATGTTGGATGTATGCTGCCTCTCAAGAGAACTTCCTTTTCTCTCTGCCGAACCTCCGCGTTGGCCAGGGCCTATCTGCTGCCTTAAACCCTGACCAGGGGGCGGGTCTGGTGGTGGTGGAAGATCTAAAAAATGTGAATAAGATTTAGAACAAACTAATATTTAACTGAAACGAAAGATCTGTTTGAAGTTGCAGGAAAAAAAATCTCCCTTAAAAATTGTATGAGTCCCTTAGGAAGCTTTTTTTTTTTTTTTTTTTTTACTTTTTAAAGAAAATGCATATGCATGTTAGTCTGAAATGTTTACCCTTCATTACTAGCCTTGCACTTCAGTTGTTATGACACTAACTCTTTCAACCTGTCATTAAAATCAACAGAATATGAGTCATGACTTTTGTTTCTAAGCATGTGATTTATTTTCTTTTGAATGTACTGTACCTGGCTCATTCAATGGTAGTCTGGTGATTAAGAAAAGTTATGAAAAAAAGGATATTTTTATTTGTCAGGGTATCCTCATTTCAATCCAGTTGGGACCTGCTTCCTCACCCCAAGCATTTACTTTCATTTTTGGCATTTGGAGTTTGAATAAATTCAAAATTTGCAAGCACAACTTTATCAAAGTTGATCTCATTTCTAATTTTGAAAAGTATCAAATTAATTTAAATATTTTTTACCATTAAAACAATAACAATACCCTTGTCAAAATATATATTTTAAATAAATCCAGCTAATGATGGTGAATATTTTTGCATGATAGTTTCAAAATTCAGTGAAAATTTGTAATTGTTAAAATTTTTGAATAACTGTATATTTCAAGTCCTTATAAAATAGCCAACTGAACACTGAAATAGCCAATTTTGTGACATAAACATCAGATTTATATCCAAGTCACTAAGGTGCTACTATTTAAAACACGGTTTCAAACTAGGCTTTCAATGAAAAAGCGTGCTTTTTTCACTATACAGAAAGCTAGGACAGTGACAAAGCCTGGAGATGTGGACAATATGATTAAAAATTAAAATAGCCTAATAATAGATTAGGGTTTCTATTTAATCTGAGACCATTTTGAGAAGGATAAAAAGAAAATGGAAGCACCACAGACATTCAGCTAAGAAATTTTTCCATGCTGCTTACCTGTAGTGTATATACATCAACCTGCAGTTTATAAGTATGTACTACATTATGGTCAATTATGGCTATTTTTTTAGCATGTTGGGATAGGTCCTTAGCTGTAAGTCAGTATCTCTGTTGATTTAACACCTGGTGAGGCTCTATCCCTTTTTTTTTTATCCTTTGTAGATTACAGCAATGTAAAGACTTCTCATGGAACTTGAAAAGGTGTGACAAATAGTACAAATGTGTCATGATGTCTTGGGTTGTATCTACAATGAGAGTGAAAACGAGGAAGAGTTGCACCTTCTAGTGCCACTGTACTTTTGCTTTTGAATGGGGTGCTAAATATTCCACTTTGGAATATCTGTTTTCTAGCTAGCATGAGTTTATAATAATCTGTCAGCAGGTTTGGTGTGTACTTTATGCTCAGTACTAATTTATTTGAGACTTTTTTAGTTATGAATATAGCTGTGACCTTTCATGCCAATGAATGTGTTTGAATTATGGTAGGTAGAAGAGGGAGGGTATGGGAGTCTGCCAATGTTGAAATTGTTTTATGATGTTGGCTTCCAAAATGTTTTTTCTTATAATTGATGTTATTGCAATCATAGCCGGTTAACTTACAGAACCACAAATTGGCATTTGCTTGTGCAATTTGAAAGTCAGATCACTGAAGGTATAATGTATAGCCTCTGTTTGGACATCCATTGAATCCAGCAAAAGCAGCCATTATATAATGTTGGATAACGACATTCTACAAAATAGGACTATTACAGTTTAAAATGAACAAATGTGAAAAAAATAATATGGTGGAACCTAAATGTGTGGCAGACAGTAGAACAGAGATAAAAACATCAAACATTACATTTAAACAGTATTTCAGTATTATTGCTTCACAGGCTACAGAGACTTTCATCTGGAAATCCCAATGCAGATTGAGAACTCTCAGTAACCAAACACCGGTGAGGAAAAAAGAGATGGGAACAGGAGATCTGTATTTGTTCGGTTACAACTCCTGGTTCTGCAGGGAATTTCCTTAGTGAGTTCAGGCAAGAAATTTAACCTAGCTTTCCTTCTTTATCTGTCTCTAAAGTAGGAATAATTGTTATATGATGCCCAGCAGGGATGTGGAAACTCACATTTATAAAGCATTTTGATAAGATCAGATGATTTTAAGTGAAATGTGGTATTATTTTTCATAAGGCTTCGCACACATCTGGAAGTATTACATGTAAATGCTTCCATTGCACATTGTTGGCCAGTTGCACCCTAAGCGAGGATGAACTATGTCTGGGTTCAACTGTAAGGATTTATGCTGCCACCAACCAATCTCTCTCTGATAGAGCTATCTAATTATTTGCTGTCTGGCAAGGTGATACCCCCTCCATTCCTTATAAAAATGCTGAGAAAGAGGTACTCCCTTCAAAACTCCCCACTTCTGCTTAAGCAACTTGTATGCTCTGCACCAGTAATCTCCCCTGCCTTAGTTATAGTTACCAGATACAAACTGCTGTCTCCCTGCACCTATATAAAGACCTTTCTGCATCTGGGGCCATAATAAATCTCTTCCCGTATCAGAGAAGGCTGACCTGGACCCCATTCCCCCAACCCTTTGAACATAAAAAACTTGTGCCCATAGATGCGTCCTGTAAAATATTATACATATATACATATACACACACACGCACAAAGTAGGAATTTAAGTTATCAAAAAATTAGAGAGACTAGGATTTACAGTCTCAGTTCCCTATGCCCAGGTCATTATCACTAGACGTTTTACAATAGCATGTGCTGAGGGAAGCAAAATCATTCCCTAAGATCAACTGCTCCAGAAAAGTTGCAAACCAAAGAGTAGTGATTTCCCTGGAGACATCCTGATGCATAACTGCATTAACAAGTACTTTGGTTTTTCCATCTAAACATAGATGACTTGTAAGAGTTGATAGCAGGAAGGCACAATTTAAAGGTTCTGGTAAAAATGGGGAGTGGAGGTGCAGACCCCCTTTGGATCTTTCTATCTCTCTCCCTCTCGCAGTGGTGCCACATCCCAACTGAAGCAGCGGCGGGGACAGGATGAGGCACGGAGGGCTGTGCTCTGCTGCTGGTGCTTCGGCAACCTCTGGCCACCGGGGGAGCTGCAACAGGCTCTGCCTGCTGACGTTGCGCTCCCTGCTGCTGCCACTTACCCAGCCTTTTTCTGTGGGAGGATTTGGAGCTGCAGCAGCAGCACAGCCACCTTTTGCAGACCCCCTAGATGTGTTCATCAGAGCCCCCCAGAAATCTGGGAGAGGGTGGGGGATGGGTCTCTGTGTGCTCCCCGCCTCTACCCCGCAATGCACCACCTATGCATCCAAATAGGATTTCTCTGTTAAATGTCAGGTACAACATTTATCCTGGATGTCCAGACCTGGCTAGCAGCTGACTGTTTTGGTGTGATGCCAGCCAAGACACCATGAATACTGTCTGATAACAAGATTAATATAGGAAAAAACTGCAAGGTGATTTATAATTGAAATGTGGGGACAATGGCAGCCTTCTTTACTGGTTTTACAGTTGAGGGACTGGGAAATCAGATGCTCTAGGAAAGCATAACCCCTGAGAAGAGACTATGAGATTTAGTTTGGGATTAGTTGAGCCACTGTTAAGAGTGCAAAGTGCTAGTTAGATTACAGGTCAAGTCACTGCAGGTACCACTCTAGCATGTGCTTGCAGTCTCATGATACACTTGACAAAAATGGCCTATGGTAGAATGGTTAGCAGCAAGCACCCTCTTTTGCAGAAGCAGGTTATTCTTTGTTTCCCTTTGATTCCTATTGGCTCATTTACTAAGAAGGCAACCTGTGAGGCATTCCTTATAATTAGTGTGTGTGTCCCCCACACTGTAACCTCAGCACAGGTGAATTGAAGCAAAGATTGGTTAATAACCAGGGATCCTGATTTTCTGTGATAAAAAAAAAAACCCTCCAATTTTTGTATTAAAAAAGTAACACACAATCCACATTTTTCCATGATATATATTCCAGGTGGTTCTGTAATATTATATATATAAGTGCTGGGTTTTTTGATCATGGAAAAATGTGGATATTTGGGGTTTGGGGGACTTTTTTAATCAGAGAAAACCAGGATCCCTGTTAATGACAGACTCAGGGACAAAGCTGGGAGGGGATCCCAGAAGACCTGAGTCCAATGTTGTACTATCAACAGATCAGCCCTACAAGCTTTTTGCCCTTCAAGCATTCTAATGTCTTCTTAGGTGTCTCCAGGTAAGTTTTTCGACCAGGAAAATAATACTTGGAGAATTCTCCCAGATCATTTGAACATGCATATACAGCTGGGGACAGGTGGTACTTGCTCCTTCTGCTAATCGCAAGTGTAAATCAGCAGAGACAAACAGGAGAGCCAATCATTTGGGTAATTAAAAAAGAAGGAACAAACACAAAAGGACTTTGCAAGTGGGAAGTGGGAGTTAGAGAGAAATAGATTAGAGCTCCCTCTCTGGGGGCTGCCAGAGAGTTGAAAAGAGAGAAAGTGCTCCTAAGGGGCTGAGGTGGGTGGAAAAATGGGCCGCATGACTAATCTGAGACAGGAATGTTAGGCAACCCTGACATGACTTATTTTGGACATTTCTGCTGGCTAGCAAAAGGCATGAATGAAGTAGAAAATAGAAGGGTTGCCTTGAATTTTTTCTCGGGAACTTGTTCATCTGAATACAGCTACAGCCATTTATTTGGGTTTTATAGTTTGTGTAAAATTACCTAAAAGTTATGCTTCTGATGAAAGATCATGTGAATTACAGTCATTTCTGATAAGAGCTGGATCAAGATTTCAGGAAATCCAAGAGATGATAGTTTAGCAAGACAGGGACCAAAGAAGTTTGTTTTAAATTTAGATCAATGGAGCAACCAAATTTTACATATCTCTTAATTCAACATTGCTCACTTGAGGATTTAGGGACTAAGGGATTTCATATGCAAAACAAAAACCCCACTCCAAAATATATTCTCTTAGCCAGGGGTAGCCAACCTACATCATGCATGCCACAAGTGGCACAGGAAGTTTCTGTGTGTGGTACATGGCGGACTGGAGAGGAGATAGACAGCACAGTGGCAGACAGGACATGGAGCAGAAAACAGAACAGCAGATTAGAAAAGCAGCACAGGCCAGGAAGCTGAAAGCAAACAGCAAATTATGCAGAGAGCCCACAGCAGGGAGCAGAAAGCAGAGCAGCTGATCAGGCAGGGGAAGAGGATTGTAGGGAAGGTGTAAAGCTAATCTGCAGCATGCCTGATAAAAAGGTTGGCCCCACTGCGTTAAGGAACACTTTACATTTTTTTTCAACTCACGCACCATACATGTTGCAGCTTATCAGCACAGAGCTGATTTTAACCCACAGAACTTACCGTCTGTCATTCCTTCCCTACGGTGTGGCAATGGGGGTTGGTCCAATCTGCCTCCCTTGTGTTTTTTAGTAGGCCTAGGTCTCTGACTCACAGCTGCACTTGTGTTGCTATCAGTAGAAAATGGACTGCTTGGTCGAGGTCTCTGAGAAGAAGGATACGCCTTGCCTAAAAAAAACATATGGGAAACATTATTGCAGTGAACTGGGCTGTCCTTTTATATATCTACCCATTCTCCAATGAATATTTTTTAGTTCTCAGGGGCAACTTGAATGAAAAGTAGGTTTCTTGTTAAGGTTCCCAGTGATGACTATTGCTTTTAGATACATCCCTGTATACAAAGTGGAAAACTCGGCATTATGTGGTCTTTTATTGTTTTAATTCAGCCTGTTCTATCCATTATAATAAGTGTGTTCTATAATGCCTACATACTTTGTATGCTGAACAGATGTCTTTGAACAACTACCTATTCTTACAGAGGGGAAAATAGTTTTACAACCATATAAAATTTATTCTCCATAGACACTCCCTCTGATTACACAGGCATTCGTACACACAAGGCCAGATTCTCATCTTAAGTGGTACCAGTGAACTAAGTCTATGGAGTAATGTCAATGAAAATATAATTTATTTTACAAAATACATATTAAAGTAGGCCTGTATAACTAGTGGCCCCCCAAAATAAAAGCACAGGTACATTTATTTTGCAATCATTTTCCCCTTATTTTATTTTATATGATGAAAGTATAGGTGCCTATTGAAACCAATTATGAATGCACGTTGGCTTGATTTAGTATTCAGAGCTGACAGCCAAACTGGTTGATATAATTCCTTTACAATATATATTTTTTCATCCTTGATGCTATTCTAATGAGGCAGCGTTCAACAGTATTGGAGCAGGATTCACATAAGCACAGCTCATCGTTTCTTTTTAAATACACGTATTTATTGGGTTCAGGTCTTCCAGGTATCTGAATACATGTTTTGCTTATTTTTTAATCAGGCTGGAAGAGAATTTTAGAATGTATTTTCACAATATATTTCTTTTTTGTTTCATTTCTTTTACATGTGTCACATTTAAACAGCTTTGTTTTGAACTTATTTGTTTTAATGTTACCCAGTGTTGAAATTTTTCAAGCAATCAGATATGCTGATCTTGCTGAGCAATACACTGCTCATTGGAGACCCATTGGTTTTAGACAAAATTTATGTAGGACTTCATGGCAGAGACAAAGTATTGTATGGACTTTGTGTTCCATTTAACCCCATGCTTTTTGGATGTTATTTCTGACCTGTGGTGTAATTTAGAGATGCCTCTGGGTTTCTCCAAACTATGTTGCCCAGTAAAAGTGTTTAAAGGACTAAAATACTGGCAGAAGACAGCCAGAATACAGCAGTGCTCTGAACAATCTTCTTCTAATCTCACTTTAATCTACCTCCGGGTTTAGCAGGACTCAGGGTCCATATTAATTCAATTATGTTGTTTTTTTATGATATTGGCAATTTCCTTCATGAAAGAACAGTGCAAAATTACACTCCAAAATATTGCCCACAATTTCTTAATTTTTATCAGGTATTCATACATGAGAGAACTGCTTTTTTTTAGTTTCTTCTTATTTTCTCTACGGTTTCCTACTGTCTCTAGATATGAATACAATCATAAAAAGACAGGAACAAAATATTAAGGGTTTAATTTAAAAATACTGTAGCTGAGATATTCAGAGATGACCCTGAAATTCCACCCTTTACTCACATTGTAAAGAAATATCTTATAAAAGCAAACTCCTACTAACATATAAGCACAACTGAGTGAGTCTAGGATGAAGTTCCATATTTCACTGAATGTTAGTGATTTCATAAGTTTTACTTTTAATTCATAATGTCAGCTTCTGTGATTGTTTCATGTACCCATGGAAGTAAGAGGCTAATAGCAATAGCACTGACATGAATCAGACACAGGGCAGACAGGTGACGGTGCAAGCTTTCCAACACAGCTCTTTCACTGCAAATCATATCTGACCTGAGCTACCTTTGCTATTCTCATCTGGAGTCTCTCAAGCAAAAAACTGCTCAATTGTGCCAAATTCTTTGTGGTGGATTAAATGTGTTCATATTGAGCAAAGGGCATGTCCACTGAGCTCATTTTCATTTGCAATTGAATTTTCCTGTCATAGTGTGTTATAAAATAAAAAGAAAAAACAAGTCATTGAACAGTATGGCAAGGAGCATGATGCCCTCTAGAAGTGTAAGGCATCATATGATTGGTAACTGATTCTCCAGTGTCTTTCATTCCACATAGTCAGACACATGCATGCAAAGTGAACGTAAGATGCTATCAACTGAGAAGTTTCTATTCACATCAGGGATAGCATTTTACACTTGCTTTCTACTTGGGGGAAAGTGTCTATGCAGAACAGGCAAAGAATTAGGGCCTGGAGACTCTCTCCATAAAGAATGTCAGAAAGAACGCTGCATCTTCTCAGCTGGAAAAACACCCTGTTACACTATGAAGGAGTCATGGCAGAGCAACAAGATAATATTCATTTTAAAGACTGCATCAATATACTGTTGAATAGAACATGCTAGCCTAGGAGGATATATTGTAGGAGGTATCACATTGTCATCAGCCTACAACTAGCTTCTGGGGCCGTGTCCAGATGAGTGCCACTGCGCTGTATATGGCGCCACATACTGCACATGGAGCTGTTCTCTGCGCTGCAAGGAAGCAGATCGAGGGTAGGGCTTTGACCCCAGGATATGCAGAAATAAAAAAAAGACCTGCACAAAAAAAAGTGGAGTGGCACAACTGGGGGCAGCACATGCCGCTCAATACCGGAGCCTGGCCAGGCAAAGCCACACTTTGGACAGGCTCCTAGTGGCAGGATCGCCACTGCTGCAGCCCCAGGAGGCCCCCAGGACCCCAGATAAGGCTGCTGGGGCCAGCCCAGTGATGACTCCAGGCCTCCCTTACCTGACCTGGGGTAACCTGCCACATGCCAGAGGGCATGTGGTATAGGTGTTCCCCAGGGACAAATAGCAGCACAAGGTGTGTCACTGCTGGCTGTCCCCAGGGAACTGAATGTCCACACTTGTGTGGATACAATCTGGGAGTATTTCTTTTTCCTGTCAACTCAGACTCTTAAGAAAAGAATAATAAATTATTACCAGGGCAGTTATATGATGACAATGGGATATACTGACATATACTGAAAGTAATGGCTTATCACAAGGATAATATGCCATTTTTAAAGTGCATACGATCACTTGTCTTGCATCTAACACCTACTCAAAACTTATTTGGGTGTTTTTCAAGCTAAGATGATACAACACTTGACAAAAGAAGATACATCTTCCTTGCACAGATACACTGTGAAATATGACACATGTTAAAGTGTGTGCATGTGTGACAGGGGCAGAGCTTGCTCCTCTTAACAGGTCTAATCCAAAGGTCATTGAAGTCAATGGAAATCTTGGCAACAGCTTCAATAGGCTTGATTCAACCTGAGTAATAGCACACAAATATTGGAAAGGGTTTAAAAGGTTGTTTTTCTTATACATGACTTTCTGCAGAGTCTCCTGAGGCAAAATAATCAGTTTTATTTGGCCAAACTCTGCCTGCTTGGTGTAGCTGAATGTCTGCACATTAGCTGTTTTTTCCCAAAGAAAAAACAACAATCAATGTTTCCCCAATAGAACAAAGAAATATGAGGGGTTGTCTTTTTCAAATAGTGAAATAACTCTTTTTAAAGAATGATGAACTTAACTAAAAAGCTTGGGTAAAATTCTGGCCCTATGCAAGTCAGTGGCAAAACTCCCGTTGATGTAAACAAAGTTGGGATTTCACCATATGTCTTTGCAGGTGGCTTGGGTGGGTGCCACAACCCCTCTAACTTTTAGTCATGAAGCCATGAAGTCACTAAAGTTATTTTGCATATACACAAATTTTGCTAGCAGCCCCTGTGTTTCTGGGCAATTTTCCTAACTGCAAGTCATTTACTGACATGCATGATTTATGTGAGAAGAATACTAAAAGTTCCAACATTATGGGACCACTGCAACACCTGTGTGGAGGAATGTGAAATGAATACCTAGCAAAAAGAACAAATATCCATAATTCATATAGTTCTAATAGTCCGTTGTGGGATTTAAATAAATAGCAACACTTATTTCACTGTTTTGTTCAAATGCAAATCAATTCTCTTTTTATCCAAAACACTTTTTTTAAACTTAAATTTTACTTTGTGCTCTTAGAAACAAACATGTGAAAATGACACATAGGCTTGTAAATTATAAATGTATTCCTATTTACCACTTTATTTTAGAAGCATAATGTGGGTTGTTTAAAAAGCAAGAGTCATTTTGGACTGTTACATTTAACTTGTAGGTGCAGTTGATACATTTTTAATTAATATTCAGCAATCCAAATGTAATTAGGTATTGAATTAAGTGCCTGCAGAGGCACCTGATTAAGAGGGCTGTTAAATAGTTGCACTGTTAATGATAAACTTACACCACCTCATCCCACATTTACAGTCTTCCCAGAAAATGCTTTTGCAAGTGAGAGGTGATAGAGAAGCAGTAATGGAGACAGAAGTGCTTTTCATTACTAGAAATATTATTGATTGTGAGAGGATTTTGCAAAAACTAAATCATCAGAAATTGCATGGCAAAATTAGTAGTCTCTTCACTGCAATATAAAAGGGAACACATGTCAGTAAATCTATAGCGGAGGCAGAGTAAAGAGAAATAGCAGACTAAAGGTTGTAATTAAAAGCTTGTGCTATTCATTGCTCTGGATTGCCAAAATTAACACACAGTGTGAAGCTTTGATTAAACTATGCAGATAAAAAAAAATCCATCCACCTTTTCTCATGCATGTTAGATAAATGTTGAGTGAGACAGGTTCACTGAAAAGTAGAAGTGGAAGAAAGGAAGAGAAGCCCTTCATGCAGAAAGCATCAACTTTTGAGTCTACAAACCTGTTCTTGTCAGGCTGGTTCCATCCAGCCTAAAACCAGCTTTATCTGCTGCTGCAACCAGTGCTTGTGCAAAACTGCCGCTGGTAAAGATGGAGTCATCTGAGGAGCTACCTACACTAGATCTATGACTAGAAAAGTTACGGTCCTCATCAGACGCAGAACCCCATCCATTTACCATTGAACCTAAAA